GGAAAGAGAAGAAGTGCAGTATTCAGAAGATCAACTGCTTACTGTCAAGGCACTGAGAACCCTAACATTAAAAGCCTGGACTATTTTGCCACACACTTGAGTACAAGTAGAAGTTAACAGTGTAGGTTTCAAGTCATTTCACATGGAAAGAGCAAGCAGAAGATTTTTTCCTATGTACAAAGACCTTGTAATAGACTACAGCTACTAGTCAGCAATTAAAAAAATTCAGACATGTTTAGCAATCCACACAGCTCCTGGCAAGTCCCTCCATCTCCAGTATATTCATGATTTTAGTGTTCTGAAAATAATATAAATATCAGCAAACCACATTATGACAAAACTTTTCAAGGAGCTTAAAACAGTTTTTCCACACTCCAGTGAAGTACTACTGTACACTGGAACTTCAGCACTACCGCAATCCTTTTGCTCTCTCTCACCCTACCCTCACACCTTGTTTCATTCCCCACCTCACAGAGGTATCTTAATGCTCCCCATTGGAAATGGCAACAGTAACGCCTTCAGATTCTGTTGTTGCAGGGATTCTTGGCACTTTCTTAGCAGGGCTTGGGATGTGCTATGAAGAAGGGAAAAAAAAGATTAAACACAGTTTCCTAGTTCACAGACATTCATACTTCATGGCTAGTCCAACTCTCAAACAACATTCATGCTACACCGGATGGTTTGGTCTTAAATCAATCAAAACTGGTCATGCTCCATGCAAAATGATTGTGTGGAAAGAGCCAGTTCTTGTTTCATTCTTGTGCAGTTTCATTCTTGTTATGATGACATGTACTTTTTAAAATACCAGGTTCAATTTTTTACTTCTGGCTTGCATGTTACATAGTTAACAAAGTATTTAACATAACTTGTTAAATGACTTTCTCTTTTTAACATACATGCACATGCTAAGACAAACATATAAACCGTTCCACCATTTATATCAAATTTTAAAACAGTGCTGAGTGTTCACCTCATGAACAACGCCTGGGCGGACAACTTCAACTCCTGCCTCCAGAGGTCCATCACCCATGAGTGGGCGCCGCGCGTAAGTTCTCCTGTGTTTTTCATCCACACGCACAAGGTACCACGTTCCCTCAAAGAGATCTTCTACCGAACACTGTGGAATATAGTTGGCTGTAAAAAAGCCAGTAACACGCTGTTAGTTGGTTCCTGGTGAGCGTTTTACACAACAAAGGCAGTTTGTACATAGTAAGACAGAGAAAACAAGCCTGCATTTTCATTTCAGCCACACTGGGCCAATGAACACAAACTATTCAGAAGTAGAAAGGGCTAGACACTTCCTTCATTCTACACCCTAATCATTTAGAGTCATGCGAATTTTGCTTAAGACTAGGAATGATTTATATTTATGAAGTTCTTACCCAAATGATGTGTTTCCTGCCTGATCTTCATGTTTTCAGCAAAGATGTCAGGTGCAATGCATTTTCTTGAGTCAAGTCTTGTTTTGAGATCAGAAAGGCTGGCAGTTATTTTGTCCAGTGCAGAACCTACAATATAAAACCATCACGTAACGTAACACCAGTGCTGAGAGCTGTACGTAGCACATTAACATTTCAAGTCTGTTCTAAATATTTTGCATTACAGAAGCTAAACATTCAGTCATTTAAAAATATTACTCAATCAAAGCATTAACAGAGTTTGAAAACCACTATTTATTTGCCCCAGGAGACACTTAAACATTCCCTAGAGCTAGAACATCTTCAGTTTAACATCACAGACATTAGGCATTGTTCTGTAGGTTTACTTATGCTGGTGGGTAGTATAACAAGACATTAGGGGCAAGCTGTGCAAGGGAGTTAATTAACATCTCTTTCTTTCACTTACCAGGAGTGGCATCCTGCGTAACTCTGATGGAATACAGCGTAGCAGCAAAACCAGAGCCATATGAAAACACACCAATTCTCTGCCCTGCGAGCTGCTCTGGGGCGTACCTGCAAATAAATCAAGCAACAGTTGTTTGAAGTGAGAATTGAGCCAAGGTGCCGATTTAAAATAACTAGAAACTGAAGCTAGCTTAGAGAAAGCAGCCAGTAAATTATATTGACTACAACACAGATTTAGCATGCTATGCGCATAAATGATGACTTTTAAACAAATTTCAAACATTGCTGTTATGTGATGACATCCAAAGCAGCCTAACCAAAACAGAACAAAGAAATGCCCAGAATATGATTCTCTAGAAAGTTGCCAATTTTCATTCTTAAGTGACCTAAAGCCTAAAATGAACAACCACATCTTGGAAGGCAAAGTCAGAAAAAAGGAAAAGGGGTCCAAGAAGAATTTAAACTTCACATGATATTGTAAAAGTCTGTCATTGCAAAAAAAATACTGTTAAGTAAAGACTAATTTAATTTGGCTTTGCTTATTACAGTGAAACAGAGAAGGCATTCTGATTGTCTTTTCTACTGCAGTGGGGTTTTTTTGTTCTTGTTGTTTTGTAGGTTTTTTTTTTTGGCGAGGTGGGGTGGGGAGTGCAGGGGAAGAAGGTTGCAGCTGGGAAAAGACACCACCTTAATCCTACTTTGGAAGGCAGTAACGAGCTGTTTCAGATCAGCTTCTGACACAGAAATTTTGAATCTGTCACTTGAACTGAGTGTGTCTGCAAAGTAATTTAACTTTAGTCTTGCTGCTTAAGGCAATCTAGTAGGAAAAGGTTTGCTAGATTAGGCTTTTTTAAAAGCCTTTCTGAAACAAAAACCTTTTATGACCTTACATATAAAAAGCTGTAACTTTTTTTTTCCAATTTTATGCTTACTGGGCTAGAAGAGAGGCAAGGCAACCATAGACTGAAGGGGTATACATATTTCCATTCTGATTGGATACAAGTAACGAAGCTTTGGTTTTCTGATTGAAGAGCTCTGCACTAGCTTTCATAAAAGCTTTTTCCACATCTCTGTCAAAATACGTATCTTCAAGTTTTACGTCCCTATTAAAAAAAAAAAAAAGAAAAGTTCAGAAACAGTTACTAAAATAGCAGAAAGTAGAAAACCACACCTTGGATGTCTAACAAATTAAGATTATGTGAATAAGAAAGACAGCAGCCATTCTCACCTGAAAGCTTCTAGACCACTGAAAACACCGTGTGCTGTTTCTGGGTTCTGGTCGCTGAGAAAGTCATTCAGCAATAGTCTAGCCACAGACTTCTGTACCAGTTTACAGTAGGGAGAATGAAAGATCATGAATCCAAAGTCATTCAACGTGAAACGTCTGTCTGTCCCCTCTGGAAGCAGCAGAAACATCGTGTTACAACTTATGTTTAGTACTCACTTCAACTATGACAATAAAATAAGGGGATGTCAGGAAACCAGTCACCCTAACACATCAGCATACAAGAGACAACCATAAGACTAACTACTGCTGTCAAATTCATTTAAAACACTGCTGCTACTTCTATTTAAAAATTAGGGATTTTTTACTGATCTTGTGCACCAACTAACATTTGCCCTTCTTCTAGAAGGAAAAAGCTGTAAGCTTAACAGAATCTCTGTATTTCTACCCAGCATTCTGACATATTAAAAAAATCTACTTCATTTAACTATCTAATCTTCACACCTATGCTTAATATGAGTGAAGCAATTACTAAATATATGGGGTAAAAAAAAAAATCAGTATCATTATGTAACATTTAAATATTAACCTCAATATCTTAACAGTCTGGGCAGAGGGGGTAATAACATGCTTTTAAGCAAGGTATTATACATTGCAACAACAAAAGCCTGCAGAAACTAGTCCTTATTGACAATCAGGTACTTAGGCATACCAGAACAGAAATAAGACATTTCTTATGGGAGAGAAGAAACATTTCCATCACCTCAAAACACACCAAGAAAGGGACTATATACTAGTCTTTAGAATGGATTCTAAAACTTGAAAACACATTGTCTCTGTAATTACACATTCCAGTATTTGCCAGATCTTAGAATATCATCAGGTGAGGCTACATACCCTTTTGCCACTGGGCGTGGATTTTGTTGCGATAGACAGTATAGCAGCGATCTAATGCACTGAGGTAGCACTGTATAGATAGTTTGCCATCAACTACAGGATACTCTGAGACCATATCTGGTTTATAGAAGTCATACGCGTGCTGCATGTGGGTTCCACGCAACCCTGATGGACAAAATTGACCAGAGTTGAAGATAACTTTATTCAGCTGCTTTGAGTCAATCTGAATACATGACTTTACACATATGGGGGAACAAGCAATATCTGGCCCCAGTCAAGCAGGTTTTCATAGCACTTCAGGCCCTTTAAGGTAACGTTTCACACAGTTCTCAATTGCCTGTTAAGTACAGTAGGACTGAGCATGACAAACACAAGTAATAATTTATTTCCATCATTTCACCTTAGAAGTAGAGCATTGTATTACTCAGCTCTAGTCCACTCTGTCAATTTTATTGGAGAATCCCCAAGGAAATAAACAGATAGGAACATCTCTAGCTGTTCCTTGCTGCCTCCTCTAACAGGACTTGGCCAAGTTAGTCCAGAGCAAGAGGAGACAAAGTACAATTTCTGACATTAGCGGGTGTTAATCCAGCCCTCCAGCAACCCACAAAAAAACAGGGGACAGGCTTCAGTATGGATCCAGTCATCTAGCTGAACGGTATTTGTGTTCTCACAGGACTAACCTCTCTCAAAAATTAACGGAGCATTTGGACCAACTAGCATAGCAACAGCACCAGCTCCACCTGTTGGCCTGGCATTTCCAGTGGCATAGACAGCTATGTCTCCAGCAACGACAAGTGCATAGCGTCCTGTCAAAAACACACAAAAATAACCATGAGAAATAGCCAAAATAGCACATTTTAATATCCACCCGCAATTTTTACACTTTGGTGATAGAGGAAATGACCCCAAGATTAAGGGGCTCTTCAATCCCGACTTCCCCCCCCACACACATTTCAATTTCCTGGCAGCCACTGAAATTTACAGGAAAAGACCAGTGATTATTAGCCATGTCGTTACTTTTTGCATGGTAACTGAACTAGTGGCAAATGCCCAGAACATTTAAGAAAAAGACTTCAGAAGAGGAAAAAATAAATTTACTCCCTGGGTTTTACATGGTTAAACATGAACACTGTCACTATAAGGCAGAATACTTGAAACCAGAGGATGATGTGACTTTTCAAGAAAATACCCTGAACTTACCATCCCAAGAACTAGACTCAATCCAATTAATGGCATTAAAAAGAGCAGCAGTGCCTCCATAGCATGCGTTGGTGGTGTCGATCCCTTCTACATCTGTATTACCAGAATCTTCAAAAAGCTGCATCAGGACAGTCTTCACAGATTTTGATTTATCAATTATTGTCTCCGTTCCAACTTCTAATCTCCCGATACAATCATAGGAAAGGCTGTTCCTCTCCATGAGCTTCTGAACCACAGTCAAGCAGAGAGAATTGATATCCTCCCGGTCGGAGCAGAACCCCATCTTTGACTGGCCTAGCCCAATGGTGTACTTCCCAGCATCGACACCATCATACTTCTCCAGCTCTGTCTGGTCAACGTACTGAGAGGGAAAATATATTTCCAGTGCAACAATTCCCACATCTTTGGGCCAACAGCATTCAACATTCACTGGAAGAGACCCAGGCATCGTGGTAGATCTTTAAGGAAAAAATAAAACCACAAAAACAGGTGATTTATTCACATCCGTTTTGAGACACCTACTTTCATTTTCTGTAGGTTTATAGAATAGGTTAAGTTTCAGGTATTCTACAAGGTCACTTGCAAAAGGCAAGCCTTTGCCTCCAGGGAGGCTTTGATCTGAGCATACCTGTAAACATCAATATAAAATGTTAAAAGTACTTCTTATTAGAAGTTTTGTAAGTGAAAATACAAATTCCAGCCCTGCAGAGGAACAGATGTCACTCATGCCCAAGTTATTTCACTGAAGCAAAACACAAGCTTAACAAGTGTTAAGTGTTTGAGAAATTAGTCTTCATTATTCTACTTTTGCTTATACACTCAATTTTACACAACCAAGCTAGAAACACTGGATACATTTTTTTGTTGCTAGTTGAGAACTTAAGTTTAAAATTTATCCTCATCAAGAAATCTCTGCCTTAAAACAGGCCAGGACTTTTCAAAACTGTTTTTAAACGAAGTGCTCCAAGTTGCTCCACTTTGTTTACACTTGCAACATAGAGAGCAGAAATCTTTTGGTGTGGTTGGGGTTTTTTTGTATTTTTCATTGGGTTTCTTGTTTCTTTTAAGCATACTCTGTTTTGGCATCCCAGAACACTGGAACTCCTAATGCCAGGCCTGTAGGAATATTTCACAGGCTGAGATGAACACGCACGGGTTCTCCCTGATCAAGTTTTATTATTTTAACCCCATAACTTTACTGTTGCTATATTTGACAGTATACTAAGCTCTACGATATGCTACATCCTATTACTTTAACCCTATCCCTATGCCCAGATGGGCAGCATCTACCTGTACTTTTGCTTACATCCTTGCTGAGCGCTTGCCTCTTTTGTGCCCAGCTGCAAGCACCATCACGCTGACCTTACCCCACTTCTTCCATAAAACCACGACGAGCTGTATAAAGCAGTAACGCCTTTCTCCGCAGGAATAACGACTTTACAGCGTGCGTGTTAAGCCAAGCGTTAGGAAAACATTAGAAGTGTTTTCTGTTTCAGGTACAGCCTTATGTAAGACAAAGTAAGAGCGCGTGGCTCGCCACTCGTTTTGATTGCCTCTAACAAAGTTTCGACCACACCTAGGATATACCTAAAATAAGCTGGTTTAAGTATTTCTCTGGTAACCTTTGGCCGTATTAACACGCGTAAGCGGGAGAAAAAGGCTATTTAAAGCTGCTTACTGAAGCGCTGCCGAACAGCCATACAGCGCAGGAGTTGAAGCAAAACCACCAATTTTGCCTTCCTTCTGTGCCCTGCTACCCCCCCTCAAGCTCACACTCTGGTCTCCCTTAACCCACCCTGTCACC